CCACATCAGATCAGTGTCCGTTCTGAATACATTTCTTCAAAACTATGGTATTTCAGATCCACTGCGTATCACTGAGCCCTTAGCAAAATACTATTCTTCTTCTCCCCTGTGCATCATTTGTATTCGAGGATTGATTATTTTCTTTTGGATAATTTCCTTATCCCAAGGGTCACCATGTGTAAATAACATGCAATTGTATTTTCACATCATGCACCAGTACAGGTTGATATCTCATTTTCAAATGTGTGCACAAGGCAGCGTTTCTGGAAATTTGACTTAGCATTAATGTCAGATGAGGAGTTTTGCAAGTTCATTGAGTACCACATTGAGTTTTTCTAGAAACGAATAACACTCCAGATGTTTCAAAATCTATAATTTGGGAGTCGCTAAAGGCATATCTGCGGGGCCAAATTATTTATTTTGCGTCTTATAAGAATAAAAAGCGAAACGAACAGCTTCGAGAACTGACAGAGCTCATAGCAAACATTGACACACAATATGTTACCTGTCCAACCGCTGATTTATATAAGCAGAAGGTACTGCTGCAGTCTGAATTTGACACCCTCTCAATTAAAGAAACTGAGAAGCTCTTTCTTAGATCAAGATATCATATATACGAGCATGGTGAAAAAGCAGGTAGATATCTTTCACATCAGCTTTGTCAATCCGCCACAGCCCAATCTATACCTGACATACAGTTATACTCCGGTCAGGAGGTAACACACCCTGACAGAATTAAGCTATTTTATCAGGATCTCTATACTTCCCGCACTGATAATTCAGAGGCTGACTCCTTCTTGGGGAACATAGATACTCCCACGAGACCAACGTGAGCTACTGGAAAGACTTCACTTCTTATCCAAGTCTACCTATTGACTGTCCACTTTGAGGACTGTCTACAATTTCGACCTATTGCTAGAGGCCATATCTCTCAAATATATAGCACATTGCAGCATACAAAGGCAGACTCTGTGTCCAAAGCCAGAAACGCATGGGAACTGGACTTAAACCTCCAGATCTCAGACGACCTATGGGACCTTAGTGTTAGCAGGATCCATGAATCCTCAATCTGTATACAGCATTGTATAATACAGTTTAAAATCCTTCACCGGGCGTACCTAACCAAAGCTAAACTAGCCAAAATATACAATACCTCTGATAATGGATGCCCGAGGTGCAAGCAATCACCTACTACTATGAGCCATATGTTCTGGACCTGCTCTGATTTGAACCGGTTCTGGGAATTAGTTTTTAAAGCTTTTTCATGTGTGTGGGAAAACACATATGAAGCACATATTTGGTGTCCTCCTAAACCAACACGGTATAGCTTCTTATTAAATGTATGGAGTGGCTTTCTCATCTCTCCTGGCACGCAGTCTAATTCTTCTTAAGTGGAAGGAATCCGATCTACCAGTGTTTGTTCAGTGGGTAGAGAGGTAGATAGAGCATTTGAGATACAGTTTGAGAGGGTCTCAAAGTAAATACTACAAAACCTGGTCACCCTTTATTGAATATGTGGAGAAGTTGTCATTTACTGAAGTATTACTGCTTTTATCTGTGGGGTTTTTTTTCTTTGAAGCCACCTACTATCTGTAGCAAGCCAACAAGAACTGCACACAATGCAGCCCCCCCTCCCCCCACCCC